AGGTCCTGTGGTCCCACACCAGCCACCACCAGCACCAGTGGGAGCATTCACATATCTTGGTCACCTCTTTCCCCCCTGCCCAGGGCCCGCAGGGCTTTAGGGGTCTCCTCGCCCCCCTCCGTAAGTACCTCAGGCTGGGTACCGCACAGCGGGAACAGGGAACGTCCCTTGGGGGCAGGCAGGGCTGCTTGGAGGTGGGGACTCCTGCTCTCCTGCTGGCTCAGACATGGTTCTTTGCAGGGTTTGCCAGGCTTCCCCGGTGTGCTGGGACGCCCGGTAGGTGTCTTTGTTCCCCATGTGTCACCATGTCCCCCCATATCACTGTGCCCTGCTGCTTCAGCTCCCAGCCGCGGGTGCTGGGTGAAGCCATGGGGGCCACCCTGTGTGGGTGCTTGGCCCCAGGCATCTTGCCAGGAGCTGGCCAGGCTTGTCCTCACTTAGTGTGGGTGCTTACCAGAGCTGCTGGCACTGTCTGGGTCTCCTCTCCCAGAGGACACCCCGTGTACCCACTGGGGAGAACCCACCCCTGCAGTGACCCCATCTCTTCCTCCCTTCAGGGCAACCAGGGAGACCCAGGACCCCCAGGACCTCCGGTAAGGAGTTGCCCTGCACCATGTGCAGGGGGCTGTCATGCAGGGAGGATGTCAGCTGGGGCGAGCACCCCACCAGGGAGCAGGGGAGGGCTTGCAGTGCTCCACTGCCCCCTTCCCAACCTGTGCCACCAGCAACATCTCCCTGACATAATGTCCCTTGTCCCCCGCAGGGCAGTGCTGGCCCACCGGGGATCCAGGGCCCAGCTGGGACCAAGGTACAGCATCAGCATCTGCATCAGCATCACCACGCCTGACCTGGCAGAGGAAAGCAGTGCCTTGCCAGATTTGGGAGCTGGAGGGAGGGCCATGTTTCAGGACATTTTGGGATGGATGGAGGGAGGGGCATTTCAGGCTGGCTCCCCTTTCAGATCCAGCCAGCCCTGGGCAACAGCCCCATGGCAGGCGTGGGAATGTCACCGTGACTACAGTGACTGTAGAGCCGTGGGACTGACACAGCTGCTCTCTTTGCAGGGTGACCCAGGGGAGCCTGGCTCCGGCATCCGAGTGAG